GCACTAAGCTATGGATGCCTTATTCTAGACGGAAACTCAATTGTGGTGGAATCAGACATTCTCAGGGCTCATGATTCAAAATCTCAAATTAAAAACATCAATCAAATTTCCATTATGCAACAACAAATAAAAACGACAAAAGAAGAGAAAGGGATGTTTGCGGATGCAGACCATGAAGGCACGAACAATGTTTTGAATGAGGAAGGGAAGCTAGAGTTTGCTTTTATCAGTTTGGAAAATACTTGCAACATGAAATATCGTTTAATGCAATCAAAAGTAAAAAAAAAAAAAAAAAAAAAGTGAGAAAAGGGGAAAAAGGATGTTTAAGAGTGGAAAATAGGATTTGATTCTTAGTTTGGCGGAGAATAATACACCTTTAACCTGGAATCCTGATCAGTGACAAGCAGCAGTAGCCACAGGCACAATTACCTCATTAACAAAGGTGAAGAAACAGGAACTAAGCACTGAAAAAATGATCTAATATCATCTTTTAGTCACTATCTAATACTAGTTTTCCAGTTTAAAAAAAAATGAAATTCAGACCTAGCTGATTATTGAGGATCAGAGGACAAATTGTTGGTGAACTTTGTACAGTCATATGGCCCGATGGCGTTGCTTTTCTTTTTGACCTGAAAATCACAAAACATTTGATATTTGAATTGGTAATGAAATTGGTCGAATTGAAAGACTAGTGCAGCAGAATATATCCCCTTTAAACTTTTAATTGAAACTTTTCTGTTTGTTCAGAGTTTAATATCTGTTAAACAAGTCATCAGCGCACTAAAATCTCATACGAAATAACAGGAAGAATGACAAAATATTCATTTCTCTTTTGCTGTTGTGTAAATGGAACTCTGGTTCCATGGGCTCTGGCATGTGAATGAAATCTAGAGCAGTGTAACAGAGTAAGGACTCATAAATGTGTAAGCATTTCTGCCCACCAAGGTACTAGTATACCACACGAAGACGCAAAGCCAAATCTAGGAAAGATAGGCAGTTCAAATACAAAGGTAGCCAAAAAAAGTTCCAATTCAGTCTGTTGATATATGCTTGCAGTTTTGAAAAACAAGATACTTGTCCGGGAAACAGAAACCACTCAAACAGTTTTAAAAAACTATAGAACTCTTTTCTTTTCCTAGTTTGATTTGTGTAGGGGATGCAGGTTACTCAAATGGCAATAATACAGTAAATTGACTACAGAAATACTTGAACTGAGTCAAAGTTCAAAATAAGGACACCTTAGGAGTATAACATGCAAAAAGGGTTCTCAATTTTCATAGCTGAGATGTTAAGAGAAAACAGACAAAAGTGCATGCCAACCAAACTAGAAATCTAAAGAAAAGGCAAAATTCATGATAATCTAGTGTTTTCAGCCTTTTTATACAGAAAATCCGAGTTTAAAGACTAACATTCAAGACACGGAGGAGAGAACAACCTTCAGCAATGTCAGGACTGCCATTAGAAAATAAATTATGAGAGCACAATGCCTAAAACTTACATGTTTCCAACTCCAGATATTTTTGCAGTCGTAAAGAAAAGAGCTAATAGTAAGTCAAAAAAGTGAATGCATCTCAAAACACCAAGACATCAATAAGATGCTTCCTTTAGAAGTTAGGCTTTAGTGTTAGTATGTTATGACTCAAAATGGGAAAGATTTCTCTTAAACCATTGACAAAACCAATGTTAGAAGGGTGACATACCGGAGACCATGGGCTAGGTTCAGGTAAACACTTGTCTGGTGGAGAATTTTGCACTGCACCACTTTTCACGGTCAAAATTTCCTGTAAAGAACTCTTCATGTGAACTCATATTATAAGCCTAATTTTAATTGCCATAATCAAGCAACTTCTCAAGATTGTACGTGTGCACAATAAGATTGGTGATAAGGTGAACTTAAGAAAATGAATAAACAACTCAAAGAGAATGAGTTAGCCTGACTATGATTTTGAGTCACTGTGATGCGCTATTTTATTAGTTAACAACAAGAGACGCTTTAGTTTGACAATTTAAAACCCAAAACCATAATGATGTGTATTAACCATTGAACCACACACTATTATTTATGCAATTTCAAAACAAAAAATAAATAGGAGTAACTTGTTAGTTGAAATATGGAAACTTCCGTAGGTTAAGACTATTTTGTCGTGAAGAAACAAGTGTTATGCTTAAAGGGTGCATGTTCTTCAATTGAACAGTAATAGTTCAGTACATATTATGATATGGCAAAAGCACAATAATGAGGCAGAATGCAAATCAAAATAAGGTCAAAACTTTCATCAGGTACCAATGAAGCTAGGTTACTAATAGCAGCCAACCATTGCCAGATATTGACGTCCAAAGCACCAAATGGCTACCAAGAGTAATTTACCTCTCCAGCAGCTTCAACAGCAGCCAACCATTCATCAGAAAATGGAACTGCATTTCTTGGAGGAAAGATTATAAGATTTGTTTTATCTGAATTGCTCACAGCTTTATTGCTGCCACTGCAAGAGAGACCTCTTAAGATTGAGAAATAGATTACCAACTTTTAACAAGATCACACTGAGTGCCCATAATCACAAATTAACCAGAAGCAAATTAGTTATTGCAACTTACATTGCTGCAGTTGAATTTCCATCCTGTTCCTGGCACAATGAAGTCTTCAAATCACATTTTGTGTCCTTCACAAGACTATCCATGTCCTGGCAAACTTCGGGCTTAATTTCATCAGTTAAGGCACTATCAATTACTCCAATGGACTGATTTACGCTTCTGGGTGATGTCAGACCTCCTTCAACCAGCCAACCCAAAATGTCATCCCACAAAAATTCTTGAATTGATTTACAGTTTTTTACAATTCGAATGCAATCATTAACTCATGCTCAAAACTTAATAAAGTTAGAGATAGAACATTGTACCTCCAAGCTCAATATAGTGCCTCGTCTGACTTCCACTGGAAAGCTCACACTTCTCAGATGAAGGCTCAATCTCCGTGCAGCTTGGTTTAGTTTCCTCAATGCTCAAATCACCATTAAATTTATGATTACCACGATCACAAGCTCGAAGTGGTGCATCAGTAAGTTCTTTGTAGCTTCTAAATTCACTTTCGCAATGTTCAAATTCTACTACAATTGCATCCCCACTTCCCAAAACATTACTTTCTTTGGATTTTGCAGATTCAGTTGTTTCCTCATATGAGGAATCCCTGGGAAACAACATATTTTTGAGCCCAGAAACTTCTTCAACCAATGTGAAGCAATTAGACAATAGCAATTGTTCAGATTCTTCAGTACAATTAGCATCTGTAGCAGAGTGATCGCCACAACTGAAATATGGTCAATGCAACATTTGTAGGCACACTGCTGTCAGCAAAGAACTCCGGATCATTCCAGTCTGTGATATATTATCCCCACTAGTTGCTTCTATTGTGGCTTCTCTTGTTTGCATTGCAATCTCAATCCCGGGATAACCATCAAGGTACTGTCAGTTCCTGCAATGGTTTGAGTGTCAGACTTCTGGTCATCATGACATACTTTGCTTTCTGAATATAAACTGGTATGATTATTGTCTGCTACATGACTTTCTAGATGAGGACCACTAAACAAACTTTGACACACAGGTTCCACTATTACGAGATTTCTTTCATTAACTTCACTATTCTTCACTTTATCCCCATGAAATGATTTGTGGACTTCTCCAACCAAAAACTCTGATGCTTCAGATGAACATCGATGCATATCGAAAGAGGTGGCTCTGTCACTCAAAATGACATGAGTGACACTTGTATCTAGTGCAGAATCATGATTTGGAACTAGTGGGGCAACCTCAAAAGACACCAATGTTGGTTCACTGAGAAAATCATGTCTAATCATCTGGTTAGTATCAAATCCTTCGTCTTCCTTTCCACCAAATGTTTCTGCAATTTCAACTCCAGAATTATCCATTTCAATCGCACCTTTTTCATCTATTGGGAACATCTCATTTACCGCTACCTGGTATTTTTCAGAACCTATGCCTTTCTCAAGCAACATACAATCAGCAGAAGTCAAACCATGAATACACTTTGAGATTTGTTCAACTTCAGGGCAAGCAGTTTGAGTCTGTAAAAGCGTAGCAGATGTATCTTTCAATTCAACAACCTCTAAAGATTGCTTAAGGCTCTGTGTATTCTCAGCCATCTCATTTGGTTCACTGAGAAAATCATGGCTAATGATCTGGTTAGTATCAAATCCTTCGCCTTCCATTCCACCAAATGTTTCTGCAATTTCAACTCCAGAATTATCCATTTCAATCGCACCTTTTTCATCTATTGGGAACATCTCATTTACTGCTACCTGGTATTTTTCAGAACCTATGTCTTTCTCAAGCAAAATACAATCAGCAGAAGCCAAACCATGGATACTCTTTGAGATTTGTTCAAATTCAGGGCAAGCAGTTTGAGTCTGTAAAAGCATAGCAGATGTATCTTTCAATTCAATAACCTCTAAAGATTGCTTGAGGTTCTGTCTATTCTGAGCCATCTCATTCCTCACAAAAGAATCTTTTGAAAGACTTGCATATATATGCTCAGAGGAAAATTCTAAATTTTCTAGTCTAGAATTAGTAAGTTCCAAATCTTCAACAGTCTGATTATCAATTTTTTCAGTTCCACAAATCCATGAATCTCCAACCATCTTTTTATGGTTTCCCTCAACCAACATAGAAGGCTTATCTTCATCAGGGACCAGGAGCTCTTCAAAGTTGGAAGTTTCTAATCTGTCACTCTGCAAACTAGATGATTGATCAAGATTCTGCATGCACCTCACTGAAGCAGAATTCATCACACCACCATTAATAACATCATTTACAGTAGAGCTGCCAGAATTTTCATCTTCACATGAATTTGTATTCATGTTCTTGTTCCAGTTACACCTATAGCAAACTCCTCAGGTTGGTAAAATAAAGAATGTTCGAAATAGTTGCCAGCTGATTCTGTACTTGCTGTATGACCAAGAGTGCAGCTTTTGGCATTGCAACTTCTGTCATACTTCTACAAGATGGAATTTTTAAGAGATTTATATTCTCTTTCATCTCCGCTTCTCCATCTTTATCAACTGCAGCAATGCTTTCACCTTGACATGATTCTTAAATTTCCCATTTGTATCAGTGATGCTCAGCAACCTATTCTTATCGCTCTCAAGCTCACAGTGATTAGGTTCATGTGGAATCTTCTTCCCATCCATCATAGCATCTTTGCCCACATCAGGTGTAATTGCATCAATTGAAACGGCACTAAGATTAAATCTTGAGCGTGAGACACGTGAAGTCAGCATTTTACCATCAACAACTCCAGGAATTTTTGCTGGCAATTGCGGTGGCCTCCAGTCACCAAGTTTACCTCGTCGATGACTAGGGTCAACAATTCTGTGTGAAAAGCAACTTGAAGCTGGAAATTTTGACTGCAAAAATAATTTCAAGAAGGCAGGATAAGATACCAGAACCATGGTAAACTATAGTGTTCACTGAGCCGATAGTGATACCTGACCAAAAAATCCTAGTGACGGAGATGGCATTCTCAGACCTGATGGTTTTGTTGATTGACTTTGTGTATGCTGCAAAGTTGTACCAGTGATGACATTGCTTGAAGGAAGCCTAACTGCTAGTTGTGTGGTAACATCTTGGCTGTCAGATGAATCCACAGTGATAACTGAAGGGACATCATCTAGAATCAATTTTGAGCCAGAACTATGGACTTTGTTGACCTGTATGGGACATAATTGGTTGTTGCATGCAGACTAATAGGCATGCAACTAATAGGGGGATTAACCTGCAACGAGTCAAAAAAAAATTGAAACGAGTAAAAGAGATATTAGATTGTTGATTGTTAAAAATGTTAATACTATGATCAAAACCAGAGTGTGCTGCAAGTAAATACAATAAAAGAGGCTTGGGAGTTCTCACTTTGTTTCTCTTAGCATGTGAGGCAGAGGATTTATTGAGTAACTCTTCAGAAACAGCCTTTGCTTTACTCTCTGTGTTTTTTACACTTTTTGAGTAGCTTTTTAGTTCTGTATTTCTCTGGGTATTAACAACTGCATAAGATAAAAATATTAAATGTCACTAACCATGGATAAGCCTAATATGTAACTAAACATAAGCTTATTATACAAACCATCATCTAAGTCATTTGAAATTTTAAGAGCATAAGGATAAAACCTAGTTGTATTGGACTAGATCAAAAAAGCAACTTGAAACCACTTGAAACCAGTACCATTCATGAATACAGACTACTAGTTTGATTACCTGGCTGCAACATCTGATTTTGTTTTAAGGAAGTTGCTCCACCTATAGTGCGCTTATTAGTTGCTGGAATCGATGGATGACCTGGCATTGAAACAGGGAATTTTCGAAGCTTGACTCCTTGGAAACAGCTTTTTGGGCATTAATGTTAGCAGGCCTTTTCATAGTAAAGTAGCATTAAGGCACAACATATTTAAAATTTTGCAAATCAAAGTGACTAAAGAGTAAACCACCTTAAAAAAGTATAAAACCGAAAGGCCTTTACTTTCGCATACTATTTAAAACTATTTACAGGATATGATGTTGACAGAGGCAAGGATCTCGGAGAGCTACTAGCTCTGGCTGCCGTTTTTCTAGCCCCATGAGTTGAAAGGACTTTATGAGAGGCCTGAAAGTACACACTTTCAGAAAGGCTCAGTAAGTTACCACACTAAATGGAGTAAAAGCAGATAGAGTCATCCTGACACTTAAAACTGACCACAGAAGTTGAAGCCTGACGAATGTGAGCTGGTGAAGTATGCTTCAGAGACAAACAAACTGTCCCTCGATCTTTACCGGAACAAGCAGCCGGTGATGCTTTAAATAAATTCTTCTCAGGTGTACATGGGTTAGCAGAATCACGGTTGAACTGAATATCATTAGAAAGAGAGGTGGTTGCTTCTTCAGTAATAGCACAAAGCGCCTCTCTGGAAGAATTTCCAAGCGTCCCAGTAATCATGGATAACTCAATGGGATCCAAGACACCTAATAAAAGATGAAAAAAAGTAATTAACAACTTATACCATCTTTAACTTGCAAAAGAGGATTTTAAAATCATGTATGAACATAGGCAAGAAGAATTGCAAAACCATCTTCAGTGAAAAATGCTTGATTCCAAGCTAAGCTTTTGCGCAAATTGTATCCTCCACCCTTTTTCTTTTTCTTCATCTGCATTGGCTCCATACTCAACTTTGGTCCTTCAAGTTTGTTTGTAGTAATATTCTCCTTGTTGGTCATGTCTTGATGAGACAAGCTATTCAGTTTCACTGAAGCTGGATCATTACGGACATTAATCCCCTCTGCAATGACAACAGCTAATTTAATCACCTTTCATGCACATTTTTCACTCTATGAAAAATCTCAAACTAAATTAAAACTAGCATTTCCAAATGAAATGATGAAAGATCACAAAGAACTAAAGTTGAGCAGTCAAAACGGCATAATGAACAGCATATACTTAGCCAGGATTGTCCATAAGATATCACCGTTTGCTCTTGAGTTGCATCAAGATTAACAATTTCCAGAGCAAACACAACAAATTACAGAATCACAATTCGCTGGCCTTAACAATTCATAATGTAAAACAAAAAAAAATTTAAAAGAGGCTTTTCTTTCATTTATTTTTTTTTTCTGTTTAGCATTATTCTTCATTGAAAAAAGAAAAGTAAGCTCCAATCAATCAGAGCTCAAAATACCTAGGAATTATTTCAAGCTTAAAAATTTGTGACATAACAAAACAAGTAAGCCCAAATTTTGCCGTATCAGTTACAAGCATCTTCTTCAAACAGAAAATTCTATATAATCATAAATTGAGAATTGCCTGGTAACCAATAAAAGAAGAAAATAGATCCAAAAAACTTACCCAAATAAATAAATAAATTTTGAGGCCAATTGCTGGTAGTATTTATTTAGAATATAGAAACCAAAGAAAAGCCACCAAAACCAAAAACCATGAGGACTACGTTGGAATTATGCATACAGGGAAACATACACAGGTCCAAATCAAACCCTAGAAAATGCAAAATTTAGGCAAATGGCATTTGGGAAGTTTACAAATAATGTACGAGCAAGAAACATAAACCAAAAGAGTAGCATAAGAAACCCTTAGTAGCCAGAAAGAACACTAACTTGCAGTTGCAGGCGAAATGCGAGGCTGATGGTAAGGTGACTTGTGTGAATGTGGGTTTGTTGTTGAATTAGAGAACCGTCTTCGGGGAGAAGGCCAAGCTGCTTGGATTCCCATTCCATTTTTTGATTATTTGGCACCAGCTTTTTTGAAAAACAAGAAAAAAAAAAAAAACTGACTAACTAACAAATTACTACTTACTAATTTTGAGGGAAATTCGTTGGGAAATTTGGGGCAATGAATGAAGAAATGAATGCTGGATTTTTTTATTTTTTTTTTTCAAAAAGTTAAGGAGCGGGAATAGAGATTTGGTTCGGATTCGCCGGCTCGGACCGCCGGTCTAAGGTCTAAACAAGACAGGTTTGGAGACACGTGACTTGTCTGCAGCAATTCTGCAATTGCATTTTATTTTTATTGTTTTCCCATGAAAATTGCTAAAACTTTTAAATTCGGATTAGATTCTGTGAGTATAAAAATAAGAAGAAAGTCTCTCTATTTTGGTGGGATTGGATCAACGCTCTCTCTTTTTTTTTTTTTTTTTCTCCCTTAACTATTAGTTTGTCATAGTTTACTAGTAATTTCAGTATGCAATGCACTCAATATGTCATCAAATTTCTTTCTAAAGGAATAAAAGAAAAAGAAGTCTCATAGCCATAGGCTGATATTTATAAGTGAAACGTATAATTAATTGACTCAATCTAATCCCATAATTGTATCCCTCAATTCACTTCGCTATTACTTAAATGTAATTCATGAAGGTAATACCTATTTTTAAATTTAACAGGGGAATTTGCAATTTATTTTTTTATAAAAAAAAAAAAAAACATAAAAGATGACATGTGTCTAAATTGATTTAAATTTGAAATACCACTAAATTTACTAAACGGATTCTGCTGTAACTTTACAAAGGTTCTGTAACTCTATAATTCAAATGCATGAAGTGAGGAAGAATGGGTTAGAAGAAGAAGTCTGAGCGCGAAATCTCACATTTGAGACCTCTCATTTATATCATATATCTATAAAAACAAAAACAAAAAAAAAAAAAAAAGCATGAAAAATTTGTAGGTTTACATTACTGCCTCGGGATGGTTCATGGGCGCCTTGATCTTGTTCTTGGATCTTTTATGTTCTTACCCTGCCAAGCCATAATTCTGAAATTTTTTTTCCAATAATATTTTAAGGAATTAGCGCTCTGGTTGGCATAAAATACATATCCGAAAAGAGCAGCAGAGGAAGGACCTAACATATCAGAAAAACTTTGAACATCAAGGCTCTTTATTTTTTTGACCAAAAAGAGACAACATATACAGCCGCGGATAATACAATAACTCTTTTCAAGCCATGTACACATTACCACATACTGCCCCCTTACTCGCAGAAGAAGGAAACTCCAGTTTTGTAAGGTTGTAGCTGAAATGCCTCCTAACGAATACCCGATGGAAGCAACAAATTATTCATGTCGTTCAAGACTAGACTCGAGCTTTACTACTATTTAGTACATAACTCTAGCTGATGTTACATTCTCTGGGATTCCCAGTGACGCCCTCCTCTGAATCACCATCAGAAAATCCTAAAATGTAAGCATCCCGTCCATCATCTTCATCACTCTCAATATCCTCTCTGTTAGGCCTTCTTTCGATATAAGCTAGAGCTTGCCTCCTATGCAGACGCAAAACATGCATGATGATATCAGGAGTAAGTGCAACACGTGAATGATCCTGCCGGCGTTGCTTGTTACCCTCCATTATCTGATTCAAGCATTAGATAGTTAGACACAAGCAATTCTAGCAACAAAATTTCAAGAAAATCACGAGCATCTAACCGTAAAAACCTAACATATATGCATAGATGTGAAGAGTTCTGGAACGGTACCTCTTCAGCGTTTGGAGGTAGAGGAACAACATCATCTGAAGTGGGGGCCCAAAGCTTTATACTTTTTTCTAGTCCACAGGTAGCGAGAACGGGAATATGGGGATTGGGCTCCAGCTGATTTACAATCTGTCTATCGCCTAACATTAAACGAACAAGTTTAGCCCCCTTCTTCTTCCATATAAATATATGACCACAATCAGACCCGCTCAAGACGTATTCATCATGAGGACCAAAGAAACTCACTCCTTTAACAGTTTGGCAATTTCTGTGTCCTGAGAAAACTTGTACTTCTTCCAAATTATGCACATACTCAGGAGTCATGGATGATGGAGAAGGACCTAACCCCATGTTCTTTTGAAACAGATAAATGAGCTCATCATTATAAGAAACAAGCAACTCACTCATGCTGGAGTAAGCTAATGCCGTGATATGAACGTCATGAGTCTCAATCAAGTGAGAAGGGCAAAATGTGTTAATTGGACTGTCTACATTACTTGAACCATCCAATTGGTACTTTCTGATGTCATAAACTCGTGCATATTCATCTGAACCTCCAACTGCAAAGTAATTGGGGTTTCTCGAGTCTATGGCCATGGAATTCAGCCTTATGCAGTTTGAATTACGCTGTTCGCGAATGCAGAGCAATAGAAAAGCTTTGTAGCAGAATTAGTTCGAAGATCATACTGCAAAAGAAGCAAGGACTCTTGTCAGAAAAGCAATAACAAGCATTTACAATTCAATTTGAACGGAGGTAACCTACATGTTGAACTAAACCATCCTCGCCACAGCTATAAAATATGTAAGGACTCCCAGGTTCAACTGCAAGCTTGTGTACACGACCATGGTGCTTACCTAGCCTTTTTGTTTCTACCTGACTGTTTTCCAACACCTCGCCAAGCCTGACCTGCAACAAAGCCAATATTTACAATGAAAAGGAACCTTTTTAATAACAGATTTTCTGTCAAGAAAATAAGAGACATCATGTTTTTTTTTTTTTGGAAACTAAATGTCATGGCAACTATGATCATCTGATCATCTCAAATACTTGGGGTCAAATGAAGAGATCTGTCAATAGACCATAACTTCAGTTCTCAAGGAAAAAGGTTAATGCAATAGAATGTAACTATATTCAGGTTGCAGCATGAGTCATTTTAATTCTTTCTTTCAGTCCTCGATTCATTTTCATCCTTATCAAATTAAAACCAAATAAGTCTAGTCTTTTCTCCTGGGAAGGTGGCTGAATAGATAGTTCGAGATATTAGGGGTATTATTGCTGGTTGGTCTAAGTGCAAGGCTACTTTAGAAGCTTTAAGTCTATGTGCAGCTTTTAGTATTCCTAGTTCTATGTTTGTACAGTTTATTGTTCATATAGCCTAAGAGTAGTGGATTACTGTTGATTAGTGCTCTTTTTCCTTTGTAATTGTTCAGGGGTTTTCCCTCGTGTATGCTTATGGCCTTATCAATAAAATTAGTAAGCTTTAAAAATAAAAAATAAAAAAGTTGAATTCATGTTGAATTCATCTAATACAATGAAGAGCATTAAGCCTGGCAGTGTCAATAGCCTAATACAAAAGTTGGTAGAACGTATGAGTGCTGAAACTGTAGCATTGGCAGGGTAAGAGGGCATGCAATAAGATGGTATTAACTTCGTACTACAGTACATTAATCAGGAAAAGAAAAGCAACAGACTACTAAGCTCATGCGCAAATCATTTCCAGTTGGCAAGATGGCCCTCATTTATGCGGGCAAGGGAGTTGAGGCAGAAGTTATTCTATCCCAGAAGGCATAAAAATGTTAAACAAGATAATCCTCGAGGAAATATGAAATCCACACCAAATGTATTATCCCATATGTATAGGAACATATAGCAAAAAAGATTACCTTGCCATCAGCTGAAGAAGTGACTATCTTTCGATCATCAGTGAATGGCATGATTCTCGCCTGGAATACATTGTCCAAATGGCCAGATGGATATGAGAATTTTAATGCCTTTGTAGCCCATTCCCACAACTTGATTTGTTGTCATCGGAGCCCGACACAAGGTGGTCACCAGCGGAGTTGAATTCAATGGTATTGACACATCCCTCATGACCTGTTAACTTTCCATACAAACCAATCTGCTCCACCAAGTTCTGCATCAGAAAGACTATGAATATAAAAAAAAAAAAAAAAAAAAAAAAAAACTAGGTTTGAGCTACTTTACACGCTGCATTAGAATCTTTGAAGAGTTGCTAGCTTCCACATACAAAGACACACTCACAAGATTCAATATGTGATTGGCATAAAATTAAATTCAATGTGTGATTGGCATAAAATTCAATCAAAGCAAACGTAAATACACATCACAAAATCCAACAAGAACAATCAAGACACTCCCCTTGTAAGAAACTCAGCATGTTGACACTAGAAGTTAAACATATTTAGACCCCAAGGCAGCAATATACAATGAAAGTATATCTGCTCACGAATTTCTGACATCATAATGGTAAGTAAAGTTAGTACTGCCAACATGAAGGATTACAAGAAGGATAAAAAGAGGAAAGCCCCAAGGGAATTCAGACTTCTTTTTTCATTTTCTACGCTTGTCACCACAACCAGAAGGAATTTCCACTAGACTTCCAGGAAAATATACTCATTCTCTACATTTCACATGAAATAATTAAAGAACCATACGAATTCCGATATATTAACCAGTTAATGACCTTCAAATTAGATCAAATTCATCAAAGCACCACCAGCCAATTATGTCAGGAAAAATTGGTATTTTCATTATCGAGTAAAGAGTTTATGCAAGAAATTCTTTACCTTTGCGCAATCAATTAAAAAAAAAGGAATTTAACTCTAACAACAACTGAATTAAATTTAGGAATAGCATTAAAAAAAAAAAACTTTAGCATATGACCTGAACATATAAAATCATTAAACAGAAACCTGGGAAGCAGAGATGTGGCGGGAGAAAGTACTGGGGGAAGAAAAACCTATCTCCCTCTTGTAAAATTCCAAGAACCCATCTTCAGAAGACTTGAAGCGTCTCTTCATTTGAGCTCAATTTCGTCCAGCAAAACTTCTTTTTAGCACGGTTCCAGCTTTCAGAGCTCAATTTTGATTGACAAATACACAAAGATTAAACGATGTTAACATGACTTTTGAGTTAGTGTATGTCATTTAGATACAGCATCTCCGTAGATGCGATACATATTTCTCCTACTGCTCCAACTGACGATTGGCGCAGTTGAAAGTGGGAT